TGCCTTTTCCACTTCCTTATAGCTGGGTTTCTGGGCTCAACACCTGCATTTTCTATCCTAAGCCAGATCTAATAATAACAGGCAGTGCTACATGGGTGCTTAGCTTGGACCAGCCAGTATTCTAAGAGCTTTACAAGCATGATCTTAGTTAGACCCTATAATGATTCTATTCCCATCATACAGGTGAAAGCTAAGGGTCAGAGAAGTTAACTAACTGGTTCCAATCACCAAACTCTAAATTGCAGAGCCGGGATTTTAATTTATTTAAATTCAACTCCAGAGCCAAAATTCTTAAGCTCAATACTATAATGCCCACAATTCAGCCTGAAATCTTACAATAACCCTATAAGACTGACCTAAGAAGCAACAGTCCCATACTACCCTGGGTTCAAGGTCCAGTTCAAATTTGGTCCAGTGGAAACTTGGACCGTAGTGTCTTCGTTGAAAAATAAAGTTAATAAAATGTAAGATCATGTGAAATAGAGTTAATAAAATATGTAAGATCATGTGAAAATCAGATGAGTTTATGAAGGAAGTGTTTGGCACAGAGTAAGGACGCCATAAATAGTAACTATAAGCTATAAACTGCCCCTGGGTGCAGCTTTGTTCTGGTCGTGCTACTGTTGGCCTGTAGGGGTCACTCAAGCCTCCACTCCCTTCATTTCACATCATGTAGTCAGTGGTTCTCAACCTGTACTTTTAAATCTCCTGGGGAGGGGCGCCTGCGTGGCTCAGTCGTTAAGCTCTGCCTCAGGCTCATGATCCCAGGGACCTGGGATCGAGTGCCCCTCACCGAGCGTCCCGCATTGGGCTCTCTGCTCAGTGGGAAGCCTGCCCCACTCCCCCTGCTTGTGTTCCATCTCTTGCTGTTTCTCTCTGTCAAATAAATAAATAAAATCTTTTAAAAAAATAAATAAAATAAATAAATAAATAAATAAATAAATCTCCTGGGGATATATACATACATAATATATGCGTATGTGAGTGTAATTTATATATACTAAATGTATGTATGTCTGTGTGTGTGTGTGTCTATATATACACACATATATATGTTTGTGTGCCTGCATATATGTATATTTGTATATGTGTACTGTGTGTGTATGTATATAAATATATACATACATGTCTAGGGGTAGAGCCTGGACATTTATTGTTTACAGCTTCCCAAGTGCCACTGCAAATGAAAAACTTCTAGAAAGGGCCAAGGCCAAGGATCCTTGGAGTTGAAACAGCAAGGAAATGGATGTTTCTTAGTAAGAAATAAAACAGTTAAGGGCGCCTGGATGGCTCAGATGGTTAAGCGTCTGCCTTCGGCTCAGGTCATGATTCTGGATTCCCGGGATCGAGTCCTGCATCGGGCTCCCTGCTCGGCAGGGAGTCTGCTTCTCCCTCTGACCCTCCTCCCTCTCATGCTCTCTGTCTCAAATAAATAAATAAAATCTTAAAAGTTAAAAGTTCTAGTGCCCAAGTGACATGGGATCCAACACTGGGATTTGAATAGGAGCCCTCTCTTGGCTTGTCTTTTTTATGTAGGCTCCACACCCAGCATGGAGCCCAACATGGGGCTTGAACCCAGGACCCTGAGATCAAGACCTGAGCTAAAAATCAAGAGTTAGCTGCTTAACCAACTGAGCCACCCAGGCTCAACCCATCCCCCACTCCTCGGCTTATGACTAAAAAAATCCCAGCCATACTCAGGCCCTGGACTCTGAGTTTGACTCTGCCCTCAGTAACCACCTTCCCACAATCTAGATCCCCTGACATGAGGCCTTGATTACCACTGGGACATGTCCCTGTCCCTCATGCTTTCGCTAGCCGTGGTTAGAGGCTGAGGTAATCATCGGATGCCATGCCTTCACCCCCATAGCTGACCTTCCAGCATCAGCCCCAAAATGCAGGACAGATGTCCCACTTCTATCCATCCCACAAGCATGACAAGGACTGGCAGCTCAGTCTTGCTTCAAGTAAAGTGTCCTTTAAATTCTGGGCTGAGACAAGATTCTCAGAACAAGAGTCTCTTTCTCCAAAAGCAAAGATAAACTCATATTAGGTTCTGTTGAGGACTATTACAGCTTGATCATGCACTCACAATTCAAAATCCTGACCTTGTCCACCCTGAGTTCAGCTGACAAGGCCATTAGACTCCCCAGAAGGGCCTGCTGCCCTCATAATGTAGGAGTCAAATATTCCCTCCCCTGGTCCCTCTCCAGGTTCTTCAGTTCCTCATTCATTATTTTCCTAAACTATGAAAGACCCACAGAGAAAAGCATGCTCACCACCCACCCCCTGCCTTGTATTGGTAATCCAAACAGTTAACAAATTGTCCAGATGCAAAGAGGAAGTTTACATTTTTTTCATAAGATGGCCCCATTTACACACTTGTCACTCAAAAGAGGCTGAGCATATATATTCACCAAACTTGGCAGCATTTCACTCTGTGACTGAAAACAAACATGATACATTTCTCCTCCAGAGATAATCTTGGTGATGTGTGTAGGCCACTGAAAATGAGAATGTTATGACTTTAGTACTGTGATAATATATGGTAGTAATTATATTAACAAGGGAAATTGCATCCTTTTTCAGCAATTTTGGCTCATACTACCCACATGAATAGTGGGGAACAGCAAAAAAAATGCTGAAATGGTGCTAGTAATAAGATAGGGGGAGCAAGATTTGCTGAATTTAGAACCTACTTTAATCACTTTTTAAAAATGTACTGAGCTCCTACTATGTGCCAGGCACCATGTGAGCCCAATGGGTAATGCATCTGACACGGCTCAGAACTTAAGGTGCTTACCACATAATAAAGGAAATAAGACATGCACATAAATCACTGTAATACCAGGTGGAAAGTGAGAGGTGATAAAAGAGGTATAGAGTTCTATGAGGATTGAAAGAGGGAGCTATCACTTCTGGTTGGGGAAGCAGAACTTCACAGTTTTCCAGCATTGAGATAAACAACAGCCAATTAACACTGAAAATTCTGCCCAGTGACCCAGCTCCAGAGAACATCCACCAGAATGCTCCACAGCTGAGTAACCATGAAAACAAAGCCCATATTCCATGACTCCAGAAATCCTTCTGTAGAGTCTTTTTGCCAGAACTTATAAATGTATGGATTGATGAACTACAAAAGAGATTAAATGCATGAGTAAAACTCCATAATTCATTTTGAAGTTTTATTGGAACCATATTCAAGATATGCACTCTGCTCCACCAATTCGATCAGCTTTTGTTTCATTCCTCCCGTGTGCAAGAAGATATAGGGGATTCCAAGAGAATGAAGACACAGACAAGACCCTGAAGGAAATCAGAATTTCATAGAGGAAAGGGAAACATACAACGTAATTGTAAAGATGATCTGCTGCTTTATCAACATGATTTGCCGGAAGGAGTTTGTGGTTCCAAATCACACAGACTTGAGCTGAATTCCTACTTCGCAGCCTACCAGCTCTGTAACCTAAAAAAGAACTATTGACTCTCCACGTTCACATTGTTTTATTTGCATGGTATTTAAACCAAAGGACTGTGATAGGGATTAAACAATATAATACCACGAAAGCATTTTGCATAATGCCTACAAATGTCTAACGAATCTGTTGAATAATGTACGTCAGAAAACTGGGAAGGGTCAGAAGACAATTATAAAGAAAAATGTAGTTATCCTTAAAGAAAGAGCTTGTCTCTGAGTTGGAGGGACTAGGAAGTCTTCATGAAGAAGGTGTCATTTGAACAGGACCCTAGAGGGAGTGATTTGTCACTCCAGAGTCTACTTTGGCTGGTATGGATGGGGTGAGTAAGGCTGTACTGAGATATGACATTAGATTTTTAGAAGATTAAAAATGTATGTGAAGGGGCGCCTGGGTGGCTCAGTCGTTAAGCGTCTGCCTTCGGCTCAGGTCATGGTCCCAGGGTCCTGGGATCGAGTCCCATATCGGGCTCCTTGCTCTGTGGGAAGCCTGCTTCTCCCTCTTCCACTCCCCCTGCTTGTGTTCCCTCTCTTGCTGTGTCTCTGTCAAATAAATAAATAAAATTCTTGGCTGATTGATTCATTCTAGGCAAATCAGGAATTGAACACATATAGTCCCCCAAATACCAGACCACATCACTGAAAATCCAATGGTGCACATAAAAAGATAGAGAGGTTAAAAAAGCTGGCATAAAATTTATAACATAATTTTTTTTTTACATTTCAAACAAAAAACCAACCCTTCCTATAAATATTGAAGGAAGAATGCTATGACACATCGGGAAACAGAATTCAGAAGCATAATGAAGGAATAAAATACCACAATCAAGTGGAGTTTACTCTGGAATTACAAGGACTGCTAGGATTAAATATTAGGAAGTCTATTTTTAAAACAATGGATCGTGGATCACCACATCAAAAACCAATGATGTATTGTATGGTGACTAACATAACATAATAAAATTAAAAAAATAAATTAATTAAATGAAATGAAATGAAAAAAAGGACGTCTATTTTTAAAATTCTGTTTAGTTAAGAGGATTAAGGAAGAAGCATATTATCATCTCTATGGGTGCTAAAAAGTCATTTGATAAAATGTAATACCTATTCCTATTTTTAAAAGAAAAATATGATGGAACATGAATAGATGCTTCATTAATATGGTAAATATATAAGTATATACTTTAACCCAAAAGTTGATATCACAATTAATGGAGAAATACTAGAAGATTCCCATTAAAGTCGGCAACAAATTCACTTGTACCACTTGTATTTCATATTATCCTGGAGCGCCTGGTTAGTCAATGAATGTTGGTTCAAAACCTCAGGAGTTCCCTGGATGAAATTGGAAACTGGCCCCAAGGGCAAGGAGAGACCAAAGAAAGAAGCAGACCACTCCAGACTGGAAGGTGGCAGGTGTAATAAGGAAGGGAAGTTATATATAAGGCTTGTCTTGGGGGCCCATAAGACGGGTAGATCCCTGCACCTGTCCACCAAATCTTAAAAGTTTCTATAGAGGCCTTACCTAGGTTCAATCACGTATACCATCTAGATGGTCTCAACACATTACTATCTCAAGGCCGGGTCTTTGGGGGAGCTTCTAGTGCCTGCAGGGGAGGGGGTGAGGAGTCTCTGACTGTCTGGGTCCAGCTCTAAGTCACCTGGCAGTCATGTCCTCTCAGTGGTTCCTCCAACAATAAAATTAGGTAACTGAAAGAAATAAGAGATAAAAATTATAAAAGAAAGAGTAAAATTATCATGATTTGCAAATAAGATGATTGCCTAGAAACCCAAGAAAATCAACTGAGAATAGTTGACAGAATAGTGTTTGTAACTAAGAGAATGCAATAAAGTCATGCTCCAAAAAATTAATTCATTTTGGCTCAGATCATGATCTCAGGGTGGTAGTGCTGAGATTCACTCTCTCTCCTTCTCCCTCTGCCCCTCCTTCCTGTTTGTGCTCTCTCTCTCTCCCTCTCTCTCTCTTCAATAAATAAATACATACAGAAAGACAGACATAAATAAAGACATAAATAAAGGTGGAAAATAAAACCTTAAAAGAAATAGAAGAGAAGATGGAGAGGTATTTTATTTCTTAGTTTTTATTATCTTCAAGCAGGGAAGGTGTTTTTAAAGTATGATTTTTAAAATCCCAAGGGTCACAAATAAATGATTAATAAGCTTGACTACATAAGAATACTTAAAAATCTTTGTATGGAATAGTGCAAAAAGAAAAGTAAAAAACAACCTGGGAAAAACTTTTACAACTCATAACAGAACAAAAGATAATTTTCCTAACATACGAAAAGCATCAACAAATCAATAAGAAAAAGATGAATAACCCAAAAGAAAAACAGACAAAAGATATGAGATAGTTTACTAGACAGAAAATATGGATAGTAATGTAAATATATCAAAAGCTGTTTATCTTACCCATAATAAAAGGAATGTAAATACTAACTACAAGTAGATATATTTTTTACCTAACAGATCGGCAAAGATCAGTAATGTTCGGTAAAATACTCTGTTAACAAGGATGTGAGGGAACAGCCATTTTCTTACATTTCTGATGACATTGTAAATTGCCATGATCACTAAGGAGAGGAATTCGGCAATCTCTATCAAAAATTAAAATGCCTATACCCTTTGATACAACAACTGGATCTCTAAGGAATTGATCCAGCAGACAGTATAAAGAAAGGGCCATATGTTCAGAGATATGCACTACAGTATGAAATCTTTAGCATGAACAAAAGTAGTCCCTTTTGACTGCTTGAGAAATCTCTATTTATCACATCCACACAATGGATTTCTTAAAGAGCATGAAAGCCCCTTTGTCACACAGGACCTGACACTCAGCACAGCAAGTATCAATTGTAATCCTAAGCATCTGTTCATATGCTTAACACAGTTCAGGTCCCAGGGAAGAGCTTCTCCATCTTTTTTGCCCTATATCCTCAAAATAAAAGGCAAGTCTATCCAAATACAGTGGAAATGTGTAGATGGTCCAGCTGCCAGCCTCAGAAATGACCACTGCTTTGGAGAACAGGAAAGATGTGGCCACGGAAGCATTTACACAAAATCAAAGACAAATCAACTTGTCAAACATTCCCCTCAGATAGCAGGAATGCGGAAGATTCTTGCTTTCCTTTTTTACAAAAAAGCTGAGCATACATTTTCTTACTTTGTGGGTTTTGCTTTCTTTATTTTAATGTTCAAATGATGACAGTACCCAAAGAGTTTCTGAGTAATGGTTGAGGAACACTGTCCAATATAAACAATCAATATTATTTCTAATTGTGGTGTGATATGGATTCCTTATAGTCAATAAATATGCGCCAAATGACTGAATAAACCAATCATAAAGGGGAAATTAGCTGATGAGCATTTCACTAATTATCCTTTTGTATATATTGTATTTTGAACCATACACATGTTCTCCTAACTTGGGGGAGGGGGGGTCCAATGACAGATAAATTTTAACATTTCAAGTAGTCCTAATATTATCATCTTAGAACCAAACACCATCCAATTTTTATGTCTGGTTCATTATAGTTAATCACATATTCTATCATATGCACAGTGTAGCTCATTCAAGGTAAGTAGAGAAAATGTCATCTCTAATTTATATATTAAAAACCTGCCCAAGTCAAACAACTGATGTAAAATCTGTTCACTTTTCATAGCCCACACGGCTGTTGTAAAAACACTTTCATGGGTAACCCTTTACATTGCTCAGGACAGACAGCTTTGTTCTCTGGGACAGACAGCAGACTTACTGCTCTAAATGGTTGGTATCCGTTAATATAATGGAATCCACCAATGTTGAGCTTGTGGCCAGTTCCAAGTTCACAGATTATGAAGATGAAATTAGGTAACTGAAAGAAATAAGAGATAAAAATTATAAAAAGGGGAAATGTAACTTGTCTCTTCTATTGTTTATTTTTACAGTGTCCTGTGTTTAGTAATAAACCTGGTTATATAATTATAGTGAAATGTAATAGGATTTGCCTGAAAATTCTCCCTTTCGGTAACGAAACTTTCTGAAAAAAACTTTGTTTTAGTTTCATTTTTTTAACTTTTTAATCCACTTACCTATGGCTTTTTTTTTTTTTCAGAGAAATCATGTTTATTACCCCCATTTTGACTTTTTTCAATATCACATGAGTTTCTGGTGTATCACATGGTGATTCAACAAGTCTTATGTGTTTATCCACAAACGTAGATACCATCTACCATACAACACTATTACAATACCATTGACTATATTCCCCATGCTGTACCTTTCATCCCTGTGACTTATTCATTCCCTATCTGGAAGCCTGTACCTCCCACTCCCTATGACTTTCCATTTTAAACATTTCACTTTTTTTAAGATTACATTATCACATTTTCCTTAATTCCATAATCTTTTCAACAACCTCATCCTTCACGCACTGTGCTTTTGTATCCTTTTATTTTCAAGTCCTTTTCATGTTTTCTCCCTTTTGTTTTATTTCCCTGGGAGCTCTTATTGTCATCTTAGACTTTATTTTTAGGATTCTATGTTGAAGCCTGAACCAACAGTGAGGAAATAAAAAGAGAAAGGACTGCAGCCATGCTGAGTGGAAGTGTTAGACAGGTGCGAAGAGGAGGAAAAGGAAAAAGACTGGACAAAGTCCTGATTGTCTTTTTGGTCTCCAAGATATAATATCTTTGAAAATGAAAAATAGAACATTTACACCTATACAGGCACCTATGTAAAAATGTGACATGCAGAACATAGAAATGCCAAGAAAACAGGTTCCTTTAATTAGAATCTTGGTTCAATGTCCAATAGACTGGGTCAAATTTACTTTGAAGGCATAAGTGAGATTATCTCCTTGTAGGAGGCCAACCTTGACAAATTAACTCTGTCTTTATCTTGAAACCAACTCACCAGTAAGTAAAATTCAGAATTCTGCTTGAAGTTTGTTAATGTTGATTTAGATGAAGCAAGCCCACCCTCCTTAAAGATCTCCAAAGCAAGGTATCTATTTGATAAATCAGTAAGAATGGCCACAGTATGACTCTCCGGCAGAAAGATCAACAAACAATCAATATTAAAAATTTTGACAAATAGCTGTTCCTATCTCTATTTAATAGGCATTTTCATGTTTCAGATCGAGCTATTTACTTGCCCTCTTTGCTTGGAGCTCATCCTGGTTTGATTTATCTTTCTCTTTCTGTCTCTATTCTATCTATAATTCTACCTCAACTATCCCATAACCCTCAGAGCATCTACAGATCAAAAATAAACAATTAAAATAAGAGAATCAATTTCTACTGAATGGGAACAAGTATATTTTATAAAATCTTTATTGGCTTCGCAGCAAACTAAACTAAATCAGAAAAGTTTCATCTCCCAAAAACATTAAGAGAAAAAGTGATGAAGTTGTGTGTATGTGTGTGGGTGTCTGTGCATGTGTGGATGTGACTGTGTGTGTTTGGGTGCATGTGTGTGTATGTGTGCCATGAAGAAAGAAAAAGGAGGAAAATCAGTGAAACAGGCAATTTTCTACCTGGCACTAAATGCCAGGTTACTTGTAAATATGTATAATTAATTTTTTCATTTAAAAAATGACAATCTGGGGTGCTGGGTGGCTCAGTCGTTAAGCGTCTGCCTTCGGCTCAGCTCATGATCCCGAGGTCCTGGGATCGAGCCCCACATCAGGCTCCCTGCTCAGCAGGAAGCCTGCTTCTCCCTCTCCCACTCCCCCTGCTTGTGTTCCCTCTCTCGCTGTGTCTCTCTCTGTCAAATAAATAAACAAATTCTTTAAAAAAAAAAAAAGGTAAAAAATGAAAATCTGAATGTAATATATAGCAAATGTGAGTGACTTCCCCTTGGCCTGAAACTCTCTGTTTTCATTTAGTCCTTTTCCTTTTCTTGCCTGCCAGTTTTTGCCTTCATTTTGCTTTTCCTATCTGCTATTTCCTAGATGTCTGTTCAGTTTAATTTATCCAAATGTCATACCCAATAAGTTGTTGAATTTCCACTCCATTCCTGCTGAATTATTGTATTACTTTTAAATAACTTGCATCTGCTCTTGATTCTCCCATCTGCTTCTCTTCCTCTTCGATTTCTCATCAAGAGGCCTGGCTCTAGGTTAAGGATGTTGACCAGGAACTCCTGATTTTCCAATTTTGAACCACTGACACAAAGTTAGTCATCCGTTCTGAATCTTTCTGAAAAAAGCTGGCCCTAGGCAAATCGGTAAAGTAGGTCAGATATATGAATGCTACCACACACACTTTGAGTACTTTCTCATTCATGCTCATCAGTCTCCTGCAGAGGCACCCCACACTCTGGACCTTCTGGTTTTTTCCTTTTAACTCCCATCCTTCAAAAAGTAATGCCCAGTATCCCTTTCCCCATTGCGTCATTTCTAGGAGAAATCCGGTAGGAAAATTCCAACCAACATGTAACTCCTGGGCAGTAAAAATGTAATATTTCATCCTCCACAGAATGAGTTTCAAGATTTATGTTTCTGTGTTCTGTTGTTAATACATGTATGTGGGGTGGGACCAGAAAAGTAACCAGCTGTAACTGATTTGAGGCACTTATCAGCAGAGTTGGCTGCTCTCTTAAACTCTAGAATTTGATGGAATTTTTTAAAAAGAAAGAAAACTACCATCTCCCAAGTTTTTACTATGTGCCAGATAGCTAAATTTCATGCCCATTTTAACCAATGAAAAAGCTAGGATACTTGCCCAAGGTGAAAAAAATCATACGGCTATAAGAAGTAGAGATGGGATATATGGCTGCAGGAAGTACAGATACTGGGTATAACCAAGCAGCAGAGCCCAATGCTCTGCCCACTATACCATGCCACTGCTTGGGTTTAGGGGTCATAGACTGTTAGCTCTCCTCTGTTTGGGGGCTCCAACCATGCAACATATATTAAGTGAATGCTTTTTATGTGTCAAGACAAAGCTGGAAAGGAGAAACAGCTTGGCATGGATGATGAACTATTGCAAGAGCATAAAGTCTGGATCACAGATATGACCCAAGAATGATCACCTGGAACACCATTTTGAAGGCTTTGAAGTATATGCTATGGAACTCAGACTTGACATCAAAGATATTGGGGAGCGCTTAAGGGTTCTAAGGAAGAGAATGAGATGGACAGAGTTGAATTCTGGAGTCATCCTTCTAGAACAGGATACATTCAGCTTTTGTGAGGGATGAACCTGAAGAAAGGTGACTAGCTGGGAGGCTACATTGCTGTTACCTAGGCAAGAGATGACAGTGGGCTCAACTATGGCAATGGAGAGAGGAAAACTATAGTCGAAAGGTAAAATTGTAGGACACGGTGATCATTTGATATAAGGAAGAGAGGAGAGAAAGTAATCAAAGTTGTCCAATTTTCCTTTATATTTGTTCTGAAGTCCCACATTCTTTTTCTAACTCAAATGAAACTGTTGTAATAAACTGGGGTGCCTTAGAGCAGATTCCCAAGCTGAACTTATAAATGTTTGAGGCTGGCAAAATTATGCCTAACTTGACCGGTAATGCATTTGGTAAGTATTGTTTATGACCACAAAATATTGCACCCACACAATTAAAGTATAGTTTAGCCTTAAGAAAGGGCTAAGAATCTCTTATTTGGAAAACTGTCTTTTCCCACCTCAAGAGGTGTTCTTTATGGAGACAGTCTTCATAATTTTTGGTTATGTTTACAGCAATTTGATTTTAGAAATCATTCTAAATACAGATATTTCCATAATAAATATTCCCAGCTGCTGTTTTTGGAAGGAGCAATTTGATCAGCGGTACTGTGTTGAATTGCATTACAATTGGTTTCTTCAAATAATGTATATTACCTACATAAAGAAAAAAAAGAAATCATCAACTAATGTCTAGTTGATCTGTTTGGCACAAAAGTGATGGCAGGACGGGGTTAACAAGTTGTTTGTGGAGAAATAACAGGGACTGATGAGCTCTCAAGTTTTGATGTTTATTAAAGAGTTTATTGGAATCTCATAGAGCGGTAAAAAATGATCTAATAAAACAAATAAGATTAAGCAGTTCCAGTAAACAAAATTATAATAAAATTCCAGAAGCGTAGATGCAAACCATTTTTATTTTTTTAATTCTTGCAAAAAAAATCCTATTAATATTTCCAAATCTTATAAAGAGTTTTAGAATTAGGATCCCATTTGAAAATCGGCCTAACTGCTCAAATCATGATCATGTCATTAATGAATTTGTTTAATGGACTACTTAGCCACGTTAGCAAACTTTTTAAAGGAAAATAACTTTTCCTGGCCTGAGATAAGGGGAAAACTACTGAAAATTGATCAACAAATAAACGGTGTATGCCGGCACAGTTTTGTTGGAAAAGGAAAACCAAGTAAACAAGTCGGAGTCGAAGAGAAGAGGTAGGGGTTGGGTTGGGGGGGGGGAACTTTCTGAAGGAAGAAAGGCTTGCTGAACCAACTTATTAGACCTTGGGAGATGTTACCAGCAGCCTCCTTTCTTGCCAATCTTTCTAAAGGGAGCAAAAGGCTGCAGAGCAATTATAGGCAGACAGGGCCATGAACAGCCTCCAGGGATTCTCCGATCTAACATGGCCCAGAAGCAGAAAAATGATTATTTTGGCCAAAACAAGGTCCTAGGTAACAGAGCAACCAGCCTGAAAGAGCTAAATGGACAGAAACAAAGTGCACTGCAGCAGCAAATGTATGTAGCCATGTCCCCACAGGACAACACACATGTCAGTAGGATCTTCTAGGCACAGATAAAATGAGAGGTCAAATATTCCCTCAATGCTCTGATGTTACGTGAAGCCTCCCATCCCAGAACCTAGAAGGTGATAATATATTGACTAATATTGAGTTTCTACAACCCTGGGGATAT